CACCAAGTGGAACACCAAGACACGTGATGGTTCTTACACCGAGTGGAACACCAAGACACGAGATGGTTCTTACACCAAGTGGAACACCAAGACACGTGATGGTTCTTACACCGAGTGGAACACCAAGACACGAGATGGTTCTTACACCGAGTGGAACACCAAGACACGTGATGGATCTTACACCAAGTGGAACACCAAGACACGAGATGGTTCTTACACCGAGTGGAACACCAAGACACGTGATGGATCTTACACCAAGTGGAACACCAAGACACGAGATGGTTCTTACACCGAGTGGAACACCAAGACACGAGATGGTTCTTACACCGAGTGGTACACCAAGACACGAGATGGTTCTTACACCGAGTGGAACACCAAAACACGAGATGGTTCTTACACCGAGTGGAACACTAAGACACGTGATGGTTCTTACACCAAGTGGAACACCAAGACACGAGATGGTTCTTACACCAAGTGGAACACCAAGACACGAGATGGTTCTTACACCAAGTGGAACACCAAGACACGTGATGGTTCTTACACCAAGTGGAACACCAAGACACGAGATGGTTCTTACACCAAGTGGAACACCAAGACACGTGATGGTTCTTACACCAAGTGGAACACCAAGACACGAGATGGTTCTTACACCGAGTGGAACACCAAGACACGAGATGGTTCTTACACCGAGTGGAACACCATGACACGAGATGGTTCTTACACCGATTGGAACACCAAGACACGAGATGATCCTTACACCGAGTGGAACACCAAGACACTTGATGGTTCTTACACTGAGTGGAACACCAAGACACGTGATGGTTCTTACATCAAGTGGAACACCAAGACACGAGATGGTTCTTACACCGAGTGGAACACCAAGACACGAGATGGTTCTTACACCAAGTGGAACACCAAGACACGAGATGGTTTTTACACCAAGTGGAACACCAAGACACGTGATGGTTCTTACACCGAGTGGAACACCAAGACACGAGATGGTTCTTACACCGAGTGGAACACCAAGACACGAGATGGTTCTTACACCAAGTGGAACACCAAGACACGTGATGGTTCTTACACCGAGTGGAACACCAAGACACGAGATGGTTCTTACACCAAGTGGAACACCAAGACACGAGATGGTTCTTACACCGAGTGGTACACCAAGACACGAGATGGTTCTTACACCGAGTGGAACACCAAAACACGAGATGGTTCTTACACCGAGTGGAACACCAAGACACGTAATGGTTCTTACACCAAGTGGAACACCAAGACACGAGATGGTTCTTACACCAAGTGGAACACCAAGACACGAGATAGTTCTTACACCAAGTGGAACACCAAGACACGTGATGGTTCTTACACCAAGTGGAACACCAATACACGAGATGGTTCTTACACCGAGTGGAACACCAAGACACGAGATGGTTCTTACACCAAGTGGAACACCAAGACACGTGATGGTTCTTACACCAAGTGGAACACCAAGACACGAGATGGTTCTTACACCGAGTGGAACACCAAGACACGAGATGGTTCTTACACCGAGTGGAACACCAAGACACGAGATGGTTCTTACACCAAGTGGAACACCAAGACATGTGATGGTTCTTACACCGATTGGAACACCAAGACATGTGATGGTTCTTACACCGATTGGAACACCAAGACATGTGATGGTTCTTACACCGATTGGAACACCAAGACATGTGATGGTCCTTACACAAGTGGAACACCAAGACACGTGATGATTCTTACAAAACATTGTACGTTTGGAAATAATTCGTGACAAAAATTTGTTAAACACCGTAACTGTGAAAAAAATAATTCACAAACGGCGGTCTTTACGTGAGCGTCGCCATCGCCTTTTGATTCGCCCTCAAGCAAGGGATTGATCTGCAGGGTGGCTCGAACGTCAGGACACACACACTGGGTCATGTTATTCGTTTGAACAAATGCACAAAGGGTTATTTAATTAAGTTGAACACACGTCCAAATTGTTCCCATGGAACGTTCACGCACGCGTGAAATTCTCTTTTGAAAATTGATTGAGGACTTTTCCTTTTTTTGTTAAACTACAGCAGGCAATGAACATTCGTCCATTGTTGCTTTGGCCATTGTTACCTAGTCCCGATCCATTCCGGGTTCTTGGCCGAGTTTTGTAAACAACGGATTTGAGATATTAATAATCATAATAGATAATACATTAACTTAACGAATAAATACAAATTATAATAACAAATATGACATTAACCCTATGTGGTCTGACTTTTGCGCCGCCCTGTATATAATCTCGGTGGGGTTAGGCCTCGTTAAATTAAGGACATCATCGCTCAAATCAAATATTGTTGCGAGTTTCATGGGCAATTAGGTAGGTATACTCTTTGGTTCTTTCGGTAAAGTCACGTAGGTAGAAAAAGTAATAGATCACGACGTTTCGATCGCAATACAAGCAATTGTCTACAGGTGAAAAAGAGGGGGAATCTGCTGAGGCAGGCTGTTGATAAAGGTTTAGAGATGGGAGGGCATCTAACGTTAATGTAGGAGCGAGCAGGAGAGAGAAATAAATGTAAGCTCGGTGAAGGCCGAGCTCGGCCAGAGCCCGGAAATCCGCTCGTGTCAATGTAAGTGTCAATGTAAGTGTCAATGTAAGTGTCAATGTAAGCGTCAATGTAAGCGTCAATGTAAGTGTCAATGTAAGTGTCAATGTAAGTGTCAATGTAAGTGGCAATGTAAGTGTCAATGTAAGTGGCAATGTAAGTGTCAATGTAAGTGTCAATGTAAGCGTCAATGTAAGCGTCAATGTAAGTGTCAATGTAAGTGTCAATGTAAGTGTCAATGTAAGTGGCAATGTAAGTGGCAATGTAAGTGGCAATGTAAGTGGCAATGTAAGTGTCAATGTAAGCGTCAATGTAAGCGTCAATGTAAGTGTCAATGTAAGTGTCAATGTAAGTGTCAATGTAAGTGTCAATGTAAGTGTCAATGTAAGTGGCAATGTAAGTGGCAATGTAAGTGGCAATGTAAGCGTCAATGTAAGTGTCAATGTAAGTGTCAATGTAAGTGTCAATGTAAGTGTCAATGTAAGTGTCAATGTAAGTGTCAATGTAAGTGTCAATGTAAGCGTCAATGTAAGCGTCAATGTAAGTGTCAATATAAGTGTCAATGTAAGTGGCAATGTAAGTGTCAATGTAAGTGTCAATGTAAGTGTCAATGTAAGCGTCAATGTAAGTGTCAATGTAAGTGTCAATGTAAGCGTCAATGTAAGTGTCAATGTAAGTGTCAATGTAAGTGGCAATGTAAGTGTCAATGTAAGTGGCAATGTAAGTGTCAATGTAAGTGTCAATGTAAGTGTCAATGTAAGTGTCAATGTAAGCGTCAATGTAAGTGTCAATGTAAGTGTCAATGTAAGTGTCAACGTAAGTGTCAATGTAAGTGGCAATGTAAGTGTCAATGTAAGTGTCAATGTAAGCGTCAATGTAAGTGTCAATGTAAGTGTCAACGTAAGTGTCAATGTAAGTGGCAATGTAAGTGTCAATGTAAGTGTCAATGTAAGTGTCAATGTAAGTGTCAATGTAAGTGGCAATGTAAGTGTCAATGTAAGTGTCAATGTAAGTGTCAATGTAAGTGTCAATGTAAGTGGCAATGTAAGTGTCAATGTAAGTGTCAATGTAAGTGTCAATGTAAGTGTCAATGTAAGTGTCAATGTAAGTGTCAATGTAAGTGTCAATGTAAGTGTCAATGTAAGCGTCAATGTAAGTGTCAATGTAAGCGTCAATGTAAGTGTCAATGTAAGTGTCAATGTAAGTGGCAATGTAAGTGTCAATGTAAGCGTCAATGTAAGTGTCAATGTAAGCGTCAATGTAAGTGTCAATGTAAGTGTCAATGTAAGTGTCAACGTAAGTGTCAATGTAAGCGTCAATGTAAGCGTCAATGTAATCGTCAATGTAAGCGTCAATGTAAGTGTCAATGTAAGTGTCAATGTAAGTGTCAATGTAAGTGTCAATGTAAGCGTCAATGTAAGTGTCAATGTAAGTGTCAATGTAAGCGTCAATGTAAGCGTCAATGTAAGCGTCAATGTAATCGTCAATGTAAGCGTCAATGTAAGCGTCAATGTAAGCGTCAACGTAAGCGTCAACGTAAGTGTCAACGTAAGTGTCAATGTAAGTGTCAATGTAAGTGTCAATGTAAGCGTCAATGTAAGTGTCAATGTAAGTGTCAATGTAAGTGTCAATGTAAGTGTCAATGTCAGCGTCAATGTAAGTGTCAACGTAAGTGTCAATGTAAGTGTCAATGTAAGTGTCAATATAAGTGTCAATGTAAGCGTCAATGTAAGTGTCAACGTAAGTGTCAATGTAAGTGTCAATGTAAGTGTCAATGTAAGTGTCAACGTAAGTGTCAACGTAAGTGTCAATGTAAGTGTCAATGTAAGTGTCAATGTAAGTGTCAATGTAAGTGTCAATGTAAGTGTCAATGTAAGTGTCAATGTAAGTGTCAACGTAAGTGTCAACGTAAGTGTCAACGTAAGTGTCAACGTAAGTGTCAATGTAAGTGTCAACGTAAGTGTCAATGTAAGTGTCAATGTAAGTGTCAATGTAAGTGTCAACGTAAGTGTCAACGTAAGTGTCAATGTAAGTGTCAATGTAAGTGTCAACGTAAGTGTCAACGTAAGTGTCAATGTAAGTGTCAATGTAAGTGTCAATGTAAGTGTCAATGTAAGTGTCAATGTAAGTGTCAACGTAAGTGTCAACGTAAGTGTCAACGTAAGTGTCAACGTAAGTGGCAATGTAAGCGTCAACGTAAGTGTCAATGTAAGTGTCAACGTAAGTGTCAATGTAAGTGTCAATGTAAGTGGCAATGTAAGTGGCAATGTAAGTGGCAATGTAAGCGTCAACGTAAGTGTCAATGTAAGTGGCAATGTAAGTGTCAATGTAAGTGTCAATGTAAGTGTCAATGTAAGTGTCAACGTAAGTGTCAATGTAAGTGGCAATGTAAGCGTCAATATAAGTGTCAATATAAGTGTCAACGTAAGTGTCAATGTAAGTGTCAATGTAAGTGTCAATGTAAGTGTCAATGTAAGTGTCAATGTAAGCGTCAATGTAAGCTCGCTCCTACATTAACGTTAGCTGCCCTGCCCATCTCTAAACCTTTATCAACAGCCTGCCTCAGCAGATTCCCCCTCTTTTCACCTGAAGACGGGTGCTTGTGTTGCGATCGAAACGCCGTCATCTATTATTTTTTCTATCCACGTGACTTTACCGAAAGAGCCAAAGAGGATGGATTCCTGCAGTCACGAAAGCTTCAAATCAAAATTCGGTAGGTTTAAATGTCATCACGAATTCCGTCTCATGTACCATCACATCACTCTAATCGCGCTTAGGGATGTGAAAGTGTTTATGCGTCAGCTCTGTCCCGTCCGTGTGTCCGTGTGTCTGTCTATAACGGTGTGGGGATGGGGGGGGGGGGTCACAATGACTCCTGTAGAGATGATCTGATCCGAACAAATCTTTAGTGTGAAGTTGCATTGCTACTGGGGCCTCGCCCCCCCCCCCCCTCCCGGAGAAAACCGTACACATTGATCCGATGGGGTTATTGCCCGAGGACCTGGAGACGGAGACGAGAGCAAAGCACGACTCTCAATATACCTCGACCGCTGCTTTCCCCACCCCTCGCCTTTCCTTACGCCAAATCAACGCTGCACAGGACAACCGATCGCGTGCTGCGGGGGTGTCACAGAATCCACGCGTCCGTGTGATTTATTCCCTTCCTAACTTGTTTAAGCTTCTGTTCCCCACTCTGCGCCGGGTTTAGAATAACGGGTGCCGGCTAACGCCAGTGGCAGTGAAGCTACCGTCGTGACCGGGGGGGCCTGCGTTGCCTGCACGATGGCGCGTTGCTACTTCTTTAGGCGGTTGCGGTTCTGATGGTGGCGGCGGTGCCGGCGGCGGGGCCGGCGGTAGTGCCGGTGTTGACGGTGCCGCCGGTGCCGGTCTCCGCGATGTAGAGGCGATTCTGGAGGATGTAGTCGATGACCGCTTGGCTCAGGAGCCGAGAGACGTCGGCGTCGCCCCTCGCCAGCGCCAGCCTTGGGGCAACGGCACAGGTTAGAAGGGGGCTCAGGGGAAGCGGGCGTCGCCTCGGCGGTAGCCCTGCGACATCCGCTTCCCAACCCCCCGGGGGCTGCTCTCTAGGCGGGGAAGGTCGCACGCTCCCCTGCGAGAGGTCGGATGGAGCCCTTTGCCCCATGGCGACGAGGAGCGACGTTGTACCGGCCGCAGCCAATGCCGCTGTCGGCGTTTGACTCGTCTCTCGCAACCGCCAGGACTCCACGGACGAGGAGCGAGGCAGTGAGGAGCCGGCGCTATCAACGGCTGCCCAAGCTCTCCTATCCTCTACATTCTAAGGTATTTTCAGGCAGCTAATGAGCATTCCCCCAACAAGAATTACGTAAGATGACGGTCAGAGGTGGAAGGGATGGAAGTCTTCCTGCAATGGGGGGTGGCTGTGGTGGTTCATTATGGCCGTGACGGAGACACTGGCTGAGAGCCGGAGCATCGGCCCCCTGTTAGAGAATCACAGAGCTACTTCTGAGATCACTTCCCTTGCCTCTCATCCCTCACCTATCGTTGCACGGCGGTCAAACCGATATTATCTTTAACTCTCAGATTAGGTCATTGGCTAAATTAAGCGCAGCACCACGTTTAATGTGACGCGCTTTTTGTTGCTGTTGTTGGTGTGCAGTTATTGGTAACCGGGTTGAAGCCACCACCTTACTGCACATTAGAACCTGGTCTAATCACAACTCAGTCTACGCCAATCTACGTGTACGTTTATGGGGCTCCACGTGATTCTTTGGGTCTCTACGTGAGTCTGTGGGGTGTCGATGTGAGTCTACGGGTCTCTACTTGAGTCTGTGGGGTTTCCATGTGAGTCTACGGGTCTCTACCTGAGTCTGTGGGGTTTATATGTGAGTCTACGTGTCTCTACGTGAGTCTGTGGGGTTTCTATGTGAGTCTACGGGTCTCTATGTGAGTCTGTGGAGTGTCCATGTGAGTCTACGGGTCTCTATGTGAGTCTGTGGAGTGTCCATGTGAGTCTACGGGTCTCTATGTGAGTCTGTGGAGTGTCCATGTTAGTCTACAGGTCTCTACGTGAGTCTGTGGGGTTTCCATGTGAGTCTACGGGTCTCTACGTGAGTCTGTGGGGTTTCCATGTGAGTCTACGGGTCTCTACATGAGTCTGTCGGGTTTCTATGTGAGTCTACGGGTCTCTACGTGAGTCTGTGGGGTTTATATGTGAGTCTACGGGTCTCTACGTGAGTCTGTGAGGTTTCCGTGTGAGTCTACAGGTCTCTACGTGAGTCTGTGGGGTTCCCATGTGAATCTACGGGTCTCTACGTGAATCTGTGGGGTTTCAATGCGAGTCTACGGGTCTCTACTTGAGTCTGTGGAGTTTCCATGTGAGTCTACGGGTCTCTACGTGAGTCTGTGGGGTGTCTATGTGAGTCTACGGGTCTCTACGTGAGTCTGTGGGGTTTCTATGTGAGTCTACGGGTCTCTACGTGAGTCTGTAGGGTGTCTATGTGAGTCTACAGGTCTCTACGTGCGTCTGTGGGGTTTCTATGTGAGTCTACGGGTCTCTATGTGAGCCCTTAATGACCAGGCTGAAAACATCAACTCACTGCACTGGTTTAATCAGAGTCAGTACCTGAAAACCGGATTCGAACCCAGGGTGTTTAACGATGCCGGCTCATTGCCTCTGGCCTCTGAGCCACCCGGTCGCCTGTGCAGTTGAACTTCAAGTCAGGCAATTCTGCAGTAAGTCAGACAGACGTCGAGGTCCACTGCTACTTGCCTGCTTTCTGTGGAGCTGATGGCAGAGGTTGCTGTGCTCTTGCCGGTCGTGACAGTGATGATATTGTGCTGTGGAAGAAAGACAAAGACAAAGATCCCCCGTATAGCCTGTAAATGGACTGTTGGGGCAAGTGCTGTTAGCGAGCACCTATGAAGGCCGGCACAACACACGAGGGGGTGGGTGGCCAGCACCACGCCAGGCCGCCTTTGTCTCCCAAGTGGCGATGTTTACACACCGCACCAGGTACTCATTTAAAGTTGAGTCGACCTCAGGAAGGCCCAGGGCCGGTTCAGACAATCGTCACTGATGTTGGCCGTGAGCGGGAATCGAACTCGGGTCACCGGGTTCGTAGCGCAGTGCGCTTACCGCTACTACACCACCGCTCCGTACACACAACAACAACAACCGCCACTAAGTGGCGGTGACGTCACCACGACGATGCTTGTGCCAGGCCATGTGCACGTTAAGGCCACGTGAAGTGTCGAACTTCCGCTGGCAGGAGGTCACGGGGCAGACCCAGCAGAGGAGGCCCAACACCACTCTAGAGGGGCTCTCTCGAGAGAGAGCTCCATCCAGTGGAGGCCCTTCAGCCAGCAGTGGTGTGCGCTCGTGAGTGTGCGCGTGCATGTGTACGTGCGTATGCGCGAGTGTGTGCGCGTGCATGAGTACGTGCGTGAGTGTGTGTGTGCGTGTGTGTGTGCGGGTGTGCGCGTGTGTGTGAGTGTGTGCGCATGCGTGAGTACGTGCCTGCGTGCGTGTGTGCGTGCGTGTGTGCGGGTGTGTGCGTGTGTGTGAGTGTGTGCGCGTGCGTGAGTACGTGCGTGTGCGGGTGTGCATGCGTGAGTACGTGCCTGCGTGTGTGCGTGCGTGTGTGCGGGTGTGCGCGTGTGCGTGAGTGTGTGCGCGTGCGTGAGCACGTGCGTGTGCGTGTGCGGGTGTGTGTGCGTGAGTACGTGTGTGGGTGCGTGCGTGAGTGCGTGCGTGAGTACGTGCGTGAATGCGTGTGTGTGTGCGGGTGTGCGCGTGTAAGAGCGTGTGCGCGCATAAGTGCGTTTATGTGTGTGTGAGTGCGTGTGCGTGTGTGAGTACGCGTGTGTGTATGTGCATGTGAGTGTGCCTGTGTGTGCATGTGTGCGAGTGTGTGCACGCGAGAATGCGTGTGTGAGCGTGTGTGTGAGTGAGTGCGTGCACGTGCATCGGTTAAGTGCAATGCGCTCCGCACCCGGCGACCCGAGTCCGATTCCCGCTTGCAGCCAACGTGGGCGACGAATATCTGAACAGTTTATTAAGGGCTTCCCTTAGGTCGACTCAGCCTTAAATGAGTACGCACGGCACGGGGGTGGTTCTGGCCACACCACCACCACCACCTTGTAGCCACTGTGCCGTGCCGTCCTTCCGGGCTGCCGCTCGCGAACGGCATTTCCCCCGCGAGCCCTGCGTGGCCACCCGGGGGGCGTGTGGCTGTCGTGGCGATCGTGGGCGTCCCTGTGTGTATGTGGGGAGCGGTGGTGGAGCGGTTAGCGCTACGCTGCGCTACGAACCCGGCGATCCGGGTTCGATTCCCGGCGAACACCTAGTGACGATGATCTGAACCGGTCCTGGGCCTCCCATAGGTTGACTCAGCCTCAAATGAGTACCCGGTGCGATGTGTAGTAAACATCGCCGCTAGGGAGACAAAGGCGGCTGGGCGTGGCGCTGGCCACCCACCCCCTCGTGTGCCATGCCAGCCTTCACAGCTGCTCGCTAACAGCACTTGCTCCTACAGTCTGTCAAGGCTATGCGAGGGATCTCTGTCTTTGTGTGTGTGGGGTGGGGGTCTCCACGCACCCTGTACTTGCTGAGCAGCGGAGACTGCGCGATGATGCGCGAGGGGTCGTGACCTTCACGCGGCACGCACACCAACCCAAAGTCTCCCAGGATGCTCTTCAGCTGCGATCACGGTGGTGGTGGGGGGGCGACACACACAGCAAAGATGAAGATCCCCCGTGTAGCTATTAGCAGACTGTTCGTTGCAGGTGCTGTGAGCGAGCTCCTGTGATGAAGGCACACTGAGATGGATGGTCAGCCAGCACCACGACCGCACAGCACCATGCACGGTGAGCTTTGTCACCCGGGTGCTGGTGATGGGAGGCGACCGCTATGATGATGATGGGAGGAGGGAATTCCAGAGTGGAGTGGTGTGGTGAGTGGGTGGGCTAGTTAGCGAGTGAATTGAGTGGATGAGTGATTGGACGATTGAATGTATGAGTCAGTGAGCGAGTGAGTTGTGACGTGCAGTGTGTTGAGTGGGTGGGCGTGTGAATGAGTGAGTCGGTGAATGGATGAGCGACTGAGTGCGTCGGTGAGTGATCGGGTGAGTGAAATGTACGAGTCGGTGAGCGATTGAGTGAGTTGTGACCTGCAGTGTGGTGAGTGAGTAGATGAGTGACCGAGTGAGTGGATGAGTGAATGAGCAGTTGAGTGAACGAGTGATTGAGTGGGTGCGTGAGTGGGTGAGTTGTTGTGACCTGCAGTGCGATGGTGGAGGAGCCAATGAGTGACGTTCACGGGACAAGCGCACCATGCGATGCGGGCGACAAATATAGCAGATCCCATCATGTGCAGGTTTACTCATCAGTTCATTCATGTGTGCTTTCATTCAATTGCTCATTCAACGCTTTCGTTCATTTGTTCACTTAACTAATCGTCCGTTCATTTGTCCATTCACTAATTGCTCATTCCACTGCTAATCCATCCATTAATTTGTCTGTCAATGCACTTGTCCATGCATTCATTCTTTCATTCATTCACTTACATCCTTCTCGCTCCAGAGGTTGGGGATGCAGAAGGACTCCAGCAGGTCACTGCCACACAGCAGCTTGACTCTCATGTCTGCCCAAGACAACAGGAACCAGGTCACTCACTCACTCACGCACAACAACAACAACAACCGCCCTTCACCACTAAGTTGGCGGTGACATCACCCGCGGCGCTTTGTGCCAGGCTAAGTGCACTTCCGAGGCCGCGTGAAGGGTCGAAGGCTCGCCGGCAGGAGGCTACGGTGACGCGGCCGGGCGGCAGCTTGTCCTGGAAGTTCACTGTCCAAACCCAGTGGCCGCCCCGGTCAATACGAAACGTGAGGACCGCGATGCGCAGCCCACTTTGCTCGCGGTGGACGTCAAAGATCCCCCGTGACGTTATTCGGAACGGGGAGGGGCGGGCACGCCATTGTGTGCCCCGTCCCGCCTACTGCCCCCCCCCCAACACAATGCCCCAAGGGCTGTTTGTTTGTTTGTTTTTTCCGCCAATAGTCCAGGCAATGCTTTGATCGAAACGTTACCATCAAAACTGACAAGTTAGTTAGAAAAAAATCAGTCCGCACTCACCGATCTCTTCGTAACGCAGCACATTCCCCATGTTGGCGTTCTCGTCTGAAACGAGAAGGAGCATCGATGGCATTCATCCACACCACGCTGAGTCATCGCAGCACAATGACCCGTTCGGGATATCCCCCTCGTCGTCGGCCGTGGCTGGGGGTCACACTCGGGCCTCTGGGGTCGTCGGCAGCGCAGTGGGGCAACCGGTGACGTGACCTAGGCTGAGCGCGTTGGCCGCAGCGGTTCGCAGTTGCGACTCCGGCGGGCCGCCCCAGCTAACGCTGCATTGCAGCGGACGTGAGAGATTTCTCGTGCAGCGGGAGTGGGGCCACTGCAGCGGTCGGTGTCACGGTAACACCATTCGGCAAATTTGAAAAGCCGCACCGCGAATCGCTCAATTGGGATTTCCCGTGCGCGCACGCGTGCACACATACACGCACACACACGCGCGCAAATACGCACGCACACACGCATGCACACACAAACACATGACATGCACACACACACGCTCGCACACATGCATGCACAAATTTGCACGCACACACGCACACAAAAGCACGCACTCACACGCGCGCATGCGAACACAGCGGCAATCATCGTCGCCCCCCACACCACCCAACCGCGAAACTACTGCAGGCCGTGTCTATGAAACATGGCGGCACCTTCCGTCACGATGACGACGACGGATGACAGCCTTGCTCCAATTCAGGGACAGCGCCAATACCAAACGTACTAAATTATCATCATCGCTTAGGATTACCCTCCGTTTAACACGTAGGAGAAGGCTTTCGTGACCAATATCCATAAGAGAGGTTTTTTGGGTTAGATCATGTAAATATAAAGTGCCGTTAAATCCGCCGCATACAGACACAACCAATTAGTAAGGTTCTCACGTAAACAAAACGTGCCAATTTCTTACTTGTACAGCACGCTGGTGTGTTGAAGAGTAAATCCACTAAATACATTTACAATTCAAGGACCGTGACATTTTGCTAGGTAATTACATACAGCATCATCATCATCAGGCGACAGCCAGCGTTGTGGAGAAATCCTCTTCTTTGGTCCTGACTGAGATTACCCGGCTACTGCTGCAGCTTCACGGGAACTGTGGAATTTCCACCACTGGCTTCAGGAGCCACTGATGGAGGCAATCGCCATCCCCTCCGCTCCGGCTGAGCCCCAGGTTGGACCGCGAGCGATCGCCGGGACCGCGGTCGGCTCGTGGCACGAGACGTTTGCAATGGGACTCACCGATGAAGCTGAATGCGTCCGTCTCTGGGCGTGAGCAGCACATCACCGTGAGGTTTCCTCCCAGATTGTTGAGAATTGTCCCTGCGGAGAGGGCGGGAAGTGAGATTAAACGCGGCTTAGTTTCTTCACGTCGCGACTCTGCCTTCGGTTGCATTCTCATCCGCCACTGTCGTTATCTCGCCGCTCTGAGAGGTCATTCTGGCCGTCGTAGTGAAGCTGCAACACCAATAACCCCCTCTGACCCCAACCCACCACTATCCCGAGCATACAACGACGCGATGCCCTGATCCGCAAACGCAAAGGAGACATCACGGCGATAAACTCCGCTTACTCCAGATTGCGATTGTCTGGCTTGATCACCTGAATGTGAAATTGTAGTTATTGCTCTGTCATCTACATCAGCAGTTGTACAAAAGAAAGAGAAAACTATCCCTACCGCCACGACCAACCCATACCCCTCCACTCCTGACCCGACCCACCCATACCACTGCGGTGCACGCACACTACCGCTCCCCCTCCCACTTCCACAATCCTCTGTGTGTGGTGGAAGGGGCCCCGGGGCTTAAACCCAGACATGCGGGGCCTAGAGAAAGGGCAGGGTCCTAAAAAGGGAAGGTTTGGAGCAGAAAGTGATGGGGGCCTACTCAGGAAGGGGTTTGGCCTAATAAGGAAGGAGTGGGGCCTAGTCAGGAAGTGGTGGGGCCTGATAGTGAATTGGTGGGGCCAATACAGGAAAGGGTTGGGCCTAATCAGGAAGGGGTGGGGCCTAATCAGAAAAGGGTGGGGCCTAATCAGGAAGAGGTGGGGCCTAATCAGGAAGTGGTGAGGTGTAACCAGGAAGGGGTGTGGCCTGACGAGTAAGGGGGAAGGACATAGAGAGGAAGGATGGCTGGAACAGGTCCAGCGTTGAGCACGAGAGCGTTAAGAGCACTCGCGTACATCTGTGCATCCGTCTTGCATTTCACATTATTGACCCCAATGGCAGCTGTCTTAACCGATGAGCCTCCCGGATTGTTTGGTTTTAGCGCCCGAAACATCAAGCGAGGCCGGCAACAAACGGCGCGGCCGTGGCCACGTGGCGGTTGGTACCTGGGGTGGGTTTCCCAGCGGGCAGGCTGGGTGGGGAGGGCCCACGCGGCGCTGGCTGGTGGCCCACGCTGCCCTGCGGCGGAGCCGCGTCTCCCTGCCCCTGGCGCGCGCTCGCCGCCGGCGCTGCTGCCGCCGCCACGGGGGAGGTCACGTCACAGAAGATGCAGCCGCTCATTTGCTGGTGGTGGTGGCGGGCGGTGCGGGTGTGTCAGAGTGGGGGGAAGGCACAGGGGAGGGGGGCAGGGGGGTGGAACAGGGGAGGGGGGGTGCGGAAGACAGGGGTCGGCACAGAAGGGGTCAATACGGAGGTTCTCACTCAACATGTTAGGTTAGGGTTAGGCCGCGGCATGGATACCGTGCGGGAAGAAGTTGCGAATGTGCGGCGGTTGAGGTGAGAGCGTCGTTGTCCCGTCGCAGCGACGAAGTGCACAAGCACACAACGCGGGAGAGGAACTCCGTGCGAGCGCTGGACCCCCCCCCCCCGCCCCCCCTCTCTGGGTAGCGGCCGCACCTTGAGGAGGTTGCGGTGATGCTCGAGGACCGACCGTGCCGACTGCGCGCTGTCCTGCAGGCAGGCCCAGGGGTCCACTCTGCGTCCACAGTGACGACGACGACGACACAGAGAGACAAAGACAAAGTCCGCCCCTCCTCCCCCTCCACCTGTACAGCCTCAACAGACTGTCAGGGGGGCAAGGGCTGCTAGCGAACACACGCACGTACATTTCATCTCCATTAGCAGCCCTGAGCCAATTCCACATTCCTATGGTAGAGGCCATTGGCGTACGAAGACAACCGCTGCTAATCCGGCCGGCTGGTTCGGCGGCAGAGCGATTTGCTCGCGAACAGAATGGTCCAAGTTCACATCCAGGTTGTGGTGATCGACTCATCCCATCATCCCTTTGGGGGCCGCTAAAATAGGCACAATTTTGCGGGAAGGTCAACAGCGGTTGTCGCCGGAATTGACTGACCCCCGTCCATAGGAATGTGGAGTTTAAATCACTGACTTAGGTAAAAGGAGCAGCCATGCAACTGCTCGCTCAAACCCCTGCTTGGTGGAATGGCTTTCCCAAGGGAGCTCCTCTCTCGAGGGTATTGGGCCTTCTCTTCAACTCTGGCCGGACATCTTGCACTGCTCGGTCGACAGAGGAGGAGGTGGTCGCAGGGTATATTTAAGAATCTTCCCCCCCCCCCACTACCCCCTCCCCCCCAGCAACCTCCTCCTGATCGCGTGCTGCAAACCCATCACCACCGAACCCGTGACCACCAAACTCGTCACCACCGAACTCGTCACCACCGAACTCGTCACCACCAAACCCTTTACACTGTGGTGGCAGCAGCAGCGGTGGCGGCGGTCACCGCTGCTGTAACTCAGGAGGGGAGCCAATTCCCCGGTGCTGTCGGGCGCCGCGTCTGGGAGGTTATCGATCGGCTCATAAAACGGGCGGAATTCTGCACGGCAACAGAAGGCGCTGCCTAAAAGCCGCTCTCATCGCTGCCCTCATCCCCCCCCCCCCCTCTCCAGACGCTCTTGCCAGGGACACAGACAGACCCATTAACCAGAAAACCTAATCAGACGCCCTATCTAGACATATAGACAGACCCTCTAGCCAGACGCCCTATTTAGACACCCTTGCCAGGGACACAGACAGACCCTCTAGCCAGACAACATAGCCACACACCCTATGTAGACACCTTTGAGAGGGACATAAACTGACCCTCTAGCAAGACAACCTCGCCAGACGCCCTAGTTAGACACCCTTGCCATGGATATAGACAAACCCTCTATCCAGACACCCTATCCAGAAACCCTATCCAGACACCCTATCCAAACACCTTATCCAGACACCCTATCCAAGACATAGACCCTCTAGCCAGACAGCCGAGCCAGACGAATGAATTCATAAACGAATGAATACATGAACGAAGGAATACATAAACGAATGAATCGATGCAATGGCGTTCGCGAACGAGGAGCGGAGGACTGCGATACCGGATCCAGGGTGAGGAGCGCACTGCCAGGTGGCACATGGTCAGCCGGTGGTGACTTGGCAGCAGCGCCTAGAAGGAGAATGCACATCACACGCACAGACAGAGACTGCTATTACACTCAAACTACGCTCTATTTGACCAGGCAAAAAGCCCACTTTTTACGAAGCGACCTGGCGACCACAAATGACAGCTCAACGAAGCGACGGCTCGTCACCGTCATCATCAGCATCACGTGGGAATTTAGAGCAGCAGCCGAATACTCTAAACGCGTAGTGACGTTGACTCTAAATGTGGAGGGGGAAAAAAAACGGAGGGCCCGGAGAAAAATCCACGCGACCACGGGGAGAGAAAGATGCAAACTCCAAATATACAGCAGCAGCAGGCGTCAGGGTTGGGATTGAATCAATGACCTCCAGTGTACCAGGCGAGGTAGTTAACACCTCACCCCCCCCCCCCCCCCCCTTGTAGCCTGCACAGACTGTTTGGGCAAATGCTGTTAGCGAGTATTCACTAATGCCGGCACGGGGCACGGCGGGGGTGATGTTTACGCACCGTGTCAGCCAAGCGTTTCAGGGTATTTGGTGATGTTGTGCCTGCTTCTGCTGCGTTAGCAGTGGTGAAATAAAAAAATCAATACGTATGTTGAACTTCTTTCGCGCTGTACGTAGCACAATAACGAGCAGTTCTAAGGAAATTAATTTTCAATCTGAGAATAGAAACTCAAAACGTCCCGTGTGAATATCGGCGTGTGGCCTGAAAGGGAAGTAAATCAAAACATATGATGGCCAACGTTTTGGGCAATGCCCCTGTTTCAAAGCTGAGATAGGCCCATTCCCAAAAACGTCACCCATTGTCAAATTTTGTTTCCTTCCAAGGGCGCCGCGTTGCTGACGAGACGCGTTGAGCGTTTCTCTTTTGGAAGGACCCCCGGATCGACTCGAACTCGGGCCGACGAGGTCGAGAGGCGTGCCGGTGAGAACCGCTGCGCCACCGCTCCCCCGTGACGCGAGCGCGCAGCTCGCACGGAGACGTCGCCACGATGCACGCGCGTACACACGCGAGACCGCTGATGTCAAACTACATCAGTGTAACTTTAATGGGGATGGAAAAAACACACACGCAAGCCTATTCCTCCTGTGCCACAAAAGACAACCATCCCCCGTGTAGCCTCAGCAGACTATTGGGGCAAGTGCTGTTAGTAGCAAGTAGCGCCTATGCAGGCCGGCATGCCGCACGCGGGGGTGGCTGGCCGGCGCCACGCCCGGCCACCTTTGTCTTCCTTGTGGCACCGCACCAGGTACTCGTTTGAGGCTGAGTCGACCTCGGGGAGGCCCAGGACTAACCGGTGTGTTGGAGAGTACACCCACGACAACATCTACAATTCGAGTACATGCTGGTTGTAATTACTGGCGAAAGGTCGTACTCTAATTGTCAACGTTGTGGGTTTACTCTCAGACACAGCGTTGTGTGCTGTGCTAGTAACGAACTGGCCACGTTCTGTTTACGTGACAACCCTCACTGATTGGCTGTGTCGGGTGGTGGCGGGTTTAACGACACATTTATATATTTATTACGTGATCTAACCCAAAGAGGAACCTCTATTATGGAGTTTGTATTATCTCCCCCTGTTCTGCGTGGGGTTTTCCCCTGGGCTCTCGGGTTTCCGCCCATAGCTAACTGCGAGGACGATCGGAGTTGTGGTGCCAATGCAGGAAAAATGTGCTGCCAATTACTCAATTGGGATCACAGGTGCCAACATCGCCCCCCCACCCCCGCCTACTGCAAAAACACGACAGGACCCTCCAGAAAATGACTCCTGGAGAACCAGCAAAGGCAGCGGATGCAGATGATGCAAAGGCAGATTATCAAAAACAAGCGTCACAACAACAACAACAAACAACAACAACAACAGCAATAGGAGGAGGAGGATGAGTGCGCGTCGCCCGAGTGGGACCCACGTGCTTGTTGCACGAGTCGTGGCAGGGCGCGATGAGGCCTCCGATCACCGTGCAGTCGCCACTCGCGTGCAGGTGGGCGCGGGCCGCTTCTGTCTCCCGCGGTGGGGGGGGGGGGGCACAGATGAAGAAAGAAGAATAAGACAAAACGGTGCCACGCGGTACGGCGAGCTCACGACGACTGGGAGTGGATTGCCGTGTCCTTCCCACCCACACAGCGGGGCCGTTCATTTGTTTTATTTCCCTTTACCGATGAATTACCGCGTGAGTCTTAATCACGATGTTGCGTTGGACTCCACGAGCATTTAATGTACTCGTGTGTGTATGTTGAACGTTAAACTGAACGGGCACGACAATGGCCGGAGAGGAGATGGACTGATGCGGTACGGGAGGATGTGGAGCTGAGCGGACTTGCTGAGCGGTGTCAAGATCGGCCCTCTGTGGAGGAGGAGGCTCGTGCAGAACGCTGCTGCTGCTACTGCTGCTGGGGCAGTTGGAGGTGGTCGCCCTCCAGCAACAACGGAGGGCGGAGGTGCGACGCTCACAACAACGAGCGGAGCGGCGGGCGGATAAAACGCAGCAAGTTGGTGCAGTGGGGGGTACAGCTGGTGGTGCATCTACCGGTCATCTCACTCAGCCAACCCATGACACCTGCTGGGTCCGTCCCGAGACCTCCTGCACCTAGCCTGGCACAGTAGGGGGTGCAGCTGGTGGTGCATCTACCGGTCATCTCACTCAGCCAACCCATGACACCTGCTGGGTCTGTCCCGACGCCTCCTGTCAGCGGCAATCCTCCGACACTTCACGTGGCCTCAAAGTGCACCTAGCCTGGCACAGGTGCCATGGTGACGTCACGGTCACTTAGTGACGTCGCGTCGAACTTCCTTCCGCGGCCACCCCCACCCCCCGCCCCCTACGTAGCCGACCGCGCGCTCGTCGGAAAGCTCCTCTTCACCGGCACGCGGGGCGAAACGTCGGACATGGACGCCGAACGACGGCGGTCGGCGCCACGAGCCCCCGAGGAGCAGGCCGGAGAGCCGCGCCGGGACAAGTCCGCACGGACGGGTCGACGATCCCACTCGCCGTGGTGCCGCCTACGGACCCTGGCCACCCCCGGGCACACGGCACGGCCCTTCGGGGTCTCACTGCACCGCCTGAACCAAGGCCCGAATTATATTGGGGGGGACACATCCCCCCAATATTCAAATATGCTAAAAAAATATTTTTTGCTATGCTATGTAAATAAAACCAACAAATTGAATTAACCTTGTCCACAATATCTGGACTTGTGTTCATATAAATCAATGCATACATTTCTGTTTATATGATTGTGGTTATGGTTGTACTTTATGAATCCCTATTCTCTGCCATTACATACAGAGCAATGTAATACAATACACTGTTAGACATTGTTGTAAAAGTCCATCCCATGTGTTAGTGAATTTTTTACATTTTAGGCAGGAAATTACTTGTTAAATTTATAAATTTTTCTGGGTTGGGTACCCCCAGACCCCCTGGAAGATTTGGTCCCCCCCAATGTTGACTCCATGGCTACGGCCTTGGCCTGAACCCACCCGCTACTTCGTGGACCCCCCTCCAGAACGCGCACTCTGGGTCGCAACGTGCCAGTTACACCCGGAGTATTGGGGAGGGGGGGCTGGGGGTGAGAGACGAGATGCTGATGATGATCAGAGGGTCGGACAGTGTTTTCATTCTGCTGGAACACGCACACACACATGCACACATGCACACACTCACACACACTCACACCAACACGCACACCAACACGCACACCAACACGCACACACAAAGACAAAGTTCCCCCGTATAGCCTTAACAGACTGTAGGGGCAAGTGCTGTTAGCGAGCACCTGTGAAGGCCGAAACGGCACACGAGGGGGTGGGTGGCCAACACCACGCCCGGCCGCCTTTGTCTCCCTAGTGGCAATGTTTACACATCGTTCCAGGTACTGATTTGAGGCTGAGTCGACCTAGGGGAGGCCCGGGACCAGTTCAGATAATCGTCACTGGTGTTGGCCGTGAGCGGGAATCAAACCCGGGTCGCCGGGTTCATAGCGCAGCGTAGCGCTAACAGCTACACCACCGCTCCCCACACACACACACGCACACACAGACACACACACACGTGCATGAGAGCCACCAGGCACGAGAGAGAGAGAGGCGGCAGGGCCACCACAACAGAGCCTGGGGGACACCGCGGGGCTCCGCGTGGACGCGAATTGTTCGTGGCAGGGGGGAGCCCCGAGTCCGTGGCCACGGCAATGGACGACTCGTCGCTGGTGGAAGGCTGCCGGCAGAGTTGACTTGGCAGATGCTCCCCTCTCGCCACCCTCCTCCTCCTCGTCCTTCCTCCTCTTACACCTCTCATTCTTTCAACTGCTCCTTTTTTTTACGATCAGTGAAAACAAGAAGATGCTCGGTGTATTCGGCACTCTGTTTCGTTCATCATTTCGTAAAATGTGTTTTTTTTTTTATAAACGGGGCTTTATGTAACCCTCGCTCGCTCTCTCACTCGCTCTCTCTCGCTCGTTCTGTCGCTCATTTTTTCGCTCGCTCTCTCGTTCTGCACGCAGCCCCCCTCGCAGTCGGACGGCCTCCGATGGGTAGCTCATATCAGCACGCAGAGCTCCCCGTCATCTGCCACCGAGCACACGGCCTCCTCCATCGCCCACTGCTCCTTGAAGGCCGGCACGGCGTGGGTCAGCCTCTCTACGCCCCCCTCCCCTTCATCCTTTACACCTCCTCCCTCCCTTCCCACCCCTCCCCCTCCCTCAACCTCCCTCCTCCGCTCCCCCCTCCCCCCCACTCCCCCCTCCCCTCCCCAGTAATCGCCATCAATCGTCTCCCTCGTCGCCAGCGGCCGCCCTCCACGTCTCACTCTCTGCACGCGCCTCGGACTTCTTTCGCACCGCACCGCAGCCGCCATCGCCGTGGAGACTCGAGCGCCACGTGGCGCGGATTGTCATCGTGGAACGACGTTGCACCCCCCCCGCCCCTCCCCCCAGCGCCCGCCATAGAACCGTGGAGTTTCCACCCGCTGCCCCAAGGGGCCGTTCATAAATGACGTCACGCAATTTTGGACGATTTTTGACCCCCCCCCCCCCCTTCGTCACACGGCGTCACAAAAAGTCAGACCCCCCCCCCTCAAATATGACGTCACAAAGCTCTTCCCCCTCCACCCCCCCAAAAAAAATGCTTCAAATCGCTTTAAACTATTGTCATTGTAGTGCGTATTTATGTGGCGCTGCACTCTGATGTTGTAGGAGAAAACATTTATTATAAAGTATATTTAATCAAGTAGAACGTGTTGTATATATTTATTTAAAGTTGCGCATTTTTACGTGACGTCACATTTCTCAACCCCCCCCCCCCCCCCGATCGTCACACATCTTCACAAATGTCTGACGCCCACCCCCCCAGGTGCGTGACGTCATTTATGGGCGGCCCCTTGGGGGGTGGGAGGCTGGCTGGGCCGTGCTTCTCTGGACACATCCCAACCCCTCCCCCCCTAGCTAAGTGGACTCAACGCGTTCGCTTTAGCGGGACGCGCACTAAGGGCACTTGCGATCAATGGCTGAAAGGCGTCCTCCCTGTGTGTGTGTGTTAGTATGTGTTAGTGTGTGTGTTGGTGTGTGTGTGTGTTAGTGTGTGTGTTAGTGTGTGTTAGTCCAGCAAAACAACCCCCTACTTCCTCGCGGTACCGGACGGGCAACACTGTCGTGGACATTGCTATGGGGGGAGTGCCAATGCCCATTGGCCTCTCCCTTCATGTCGTCTGTGACCACCACAGTGGCTAAACGGGGGCTCTGGACCGGTGCGAGGGGCTGGTAACCCCTCCACCTTCAATTAACCACCACTAAACTACGAATTAAACATAAACCTGTAACTAATAAGCTTGTGCCGGAGGCCCCGGGGGGTCAAGCTTTTATGACGTCTCCTGGCCAAACCCCATTTGGTGGAGCCAGGAGATTGAATTTTCACCCTCGGGGCTCCTCCAGAAACAACAAAAAACCATTGCGGATGGCCACGTGGAATGTTCGAACGCTCACTGCGGAGGAGAGGCTGCCACTCCTCTGTCGGGAGCTGGACCGGTACCGCCTGGATCTCTGTGGCATTCAGGAGGTCCGGTGGACCGGTTCTGGCTCCTGCCACCATGAGGGGTGGACAGTCCTCTACTCGGGGCAGGAGACTGCCAAACAACAGGGTGTGGCTCTTCTTCTGAACAAAAGAATGAAGGGGGCGTGGGAGCGTGGCGGTGAAGTGTGGGAAGCTGTAAGCCCCAGAATACTTTGGGCTCGCCTTCCCATCAACCAGAGGCGAGGAGTGATGGTCGTGGTTACTTATGCCCCCACCGAAGACGAACATCCGTGGAGGGATGCAGGCAAAGCCGATGAGTCAGACGCTTTCTATGACCTCCTGTCACAGGTGCTGGCTAAAGTGGCCACTCGGGACAGAGTCATCTTGTTGGGTGACTTCAATGCCCGAGTTGGTCATGATGCTGGCACCTGGTCTGGAGTGATTGGAAGGCATGGGCCAGATCAGCTCAATAATAACGGTAGGAGGCTGCTAGATTTTTGTGCAGCCCATGGGCTTGTAATTACCAACACGCTCTTCCGGCATCGGCGCATCCACACAACATCATGGATACATGCCGGGTCCAAGCAAGAACATCTGCTGGACTACATAGTGACGGACCAGCAGATGCGAGCCCATGTCCTTGACACCAGGACCTACCGTGGAGCTGATCTGCCCTCTGACCATCGACTAGTCATCTGTAAGATGCGCCTGCCTTTCTTCCACTCCGGTGGTGGGTGTACACCCAGGATCCCATTCCAACCAAAAGTGGCCTGGTCTCAGTTAGCTGATGAAAGTTGCAAGCGAGAATTTCATCATCGCTTGCAGCTGGGGTTGGCATCGTCCCCCACTCCACCTGATGTCGAGGGTAAATGGGCGAGGTTTAAGACTGTGACTCATGCAGCTGCAATGGCTGATTTGGGTACGCGGTCCAGACCTCCCCAGAAACCCTGGCTGACAGAGGAGGTGTTCAGGTTAATTGAGAAAAAGCGACAGGC